GTGTGGCCGGCTGGCGGCCGGGCTGCCCTTCGCGGGGTAGGGAAGAGGGAGGGAGCGTTTCTGCCCCTCTTTCAGCCCGGAAGGCGGTGGCGAGGCGGCTGTCAGGCCCCGGGGAGTCACGGTGTGGGAGGGGGCTCGGAGCGCGGGCGGGCCGGAGGCCGCCTTCCTGCCTGGAGAACAAAGGGCCGGGCGCTGGACCGCGGGGGCGGCCTCTGCTGCTGCTCCCCGCCGAGGGACCCGGTCCTCGCGGGGCGGCTGTCGGAAGCACTTCCCTAACTCGAGCTCGGTGGGAGGAATCCACTACTCTTTTGTTCCCAGGAAGGGAAAAACGGGGCGGAGGTTCCTGCTGCCATGTTGTGGCCCTGGTTTTCCGCCTTCCTGGTGGCAGCCGCTGTGCACCCCTGTCCCTGCCGCCCGCGTCTTCCCACATGCCGGTGGTGGGGCGGGGGCCCGAAGGGTGGACTGAGCGGGCCTGCTGTGAGGCCTGTGGGGCCGCCGGGTCCAGTCTGTCGGGCTCATCGCCCGGCGGTAAAGATGACTGTAGCAGACATGTTTCACGAAATGCTGCCTACGTTAAGAGTTGGGCTTTCTGTCACGGAGCTCAGTGCTCAGTTTGTAAAGGCGGCAGAGTGTGGTCTTTTGAAAAGATTCCTTCCTAGCAGTTGCAGATGTTCTTATATTCTATATGAAAGCTGTTCACATCCTTTAACACGAAGTAGTTTCCAGGTGGCTAAACAAAATAAAGTTTTATTGTCCATTTGTATTTTGAGAACATTCTATTTTAGTCTTATGAGCCCTGCAATGCAGTGAAAGTTCAGTCAACTGCAGTGCCAAGATCTGAAATAAATAATAATCGAATGAATATTTATAGATCTGTATATTAGCCGTTTCTGATTTCGGTACTCTTTTTCATTCTAGGTTTTTCATTTCTCCCATCCCCTCCCCTCCCCACCCCATACATTAATATTATTCTTTTGAAGATTCTTCGTTGTCAAGCCGCCAAAGTGGAGAGTGCGATTGCAGAAGGGGGTGCTTCTCGTTTCAGGTGAGTGTTGATTATGTTACATTGTTTTGAAAAAGCCAGTCAAAAAAATATGGAAGTCACCACACCAAATAATTCACTTAATGTGCTATAGTTTTAATCTTAAAAGTCCTTAAATTTTCCGTGGTTTTCCTGTAATAACTGGCCATCTGAAGAATGTCATTTGTTTGGCTCTTCATTAGGCCCAAGATCAAGTCTACATCTGTGGTGTAATTTCTAAGATACAAAATAAAGAGATCCTTTGTCCCTTTTGAGTGCAACATAGTTGAGGTATATAGTTTTTTAAAAAAAAACTATTTTTCTTTTAAATAGTGCTTCTTCGGGCGGAGGAGGAAGTAGGGGTGCACCTCAGCACTATCCCAAGACTGCTGGCAACAGGTATGGTTAACATAAAAACAAGAGTTTTGCAAATAGTAGGTTTAGATTTAAAGGCTTCTATACATAGCAATATAGTTATGGTAGTAGACATCAGGAATCATAATCTTAAAGGGCATGGTTTCTGCTAGATAATCCTAAGTATAGAATGTCAGCTCTGGATTATTCCTTAACCAAATCATGTACTGTGAGTTGAGACACTCAAACTGCTAAGAAAAACTAGTTTTTATTCTTTGTGTTGTTTTTACTAATGTTATTTCTAAAAGCAGTTATTGTGCCTACTAATTGTTATTAGTGAAGTGATATTTATGCAGCTCGGTCATAAGATATTAAAAAGTGTCCATTCTCAAGGTGTGGCTCCTGGACCTGCAGCATTAGCATCACCTTGGGCATATTTACTAGAAATTCTCAGGCCCCATCCCAAACTTCAAAGCAGAAACTAGGAGTGGGCCTTCCTGTCTGGTTTCACAAACCTTGTCGGTGATTCTAACGCACAATAGTTTGAGAACTATTATCCCTAGAGTTGTTTTGTTATGGGAATACTTTTTCTGTTTAGAAGGATTTCACATCAGTGTGACATTTGGTATATGACTGCATGCCATGTTTAAAACTTTTAGTCTCTTTAATTTTTAATCCATTAGCGAGTTCCTGGGGAAAACCCCAGGGCAAAACGCTCAGAAATGGATTCCTGCACGAAGCACTAGACGAGATGACAACTCCGCAGCAAACAACTCCGCAAATGAAAAAGAACGACATGATGCAATCTTCAGGAAAGTAAGAGGCGTATTAAATAAGCTTACTCCTGAGAAGTTTGACAAGCTATGCCTTGAGCTCCTCAATGTGGGTGTAGAGTCTAAACTCATCCTTAAAGGGGTCATACTGCTGATTGTAGTAAGAGGGTAAGTGTCAAGGCCTGTTTTACTAAAAGTCGGGAAGAAGTATGCATTAGTTATATTTCTCTGGTGTTTATGCTATACTACTTGGAAGATAAGATACATCCCTAGCATTTATGTATATTTTAGTGAATACTAATGTTAACCATTTTTGTTTTAATTGCCAGAGGGTTCACATGACTTTTTAGTTATTTCTTAAAGAATTATCTTAAACTAAAGAGTAGCACATCAATATTTGTGAGCTTTCAACTGTTCTGAATCATTGGATTACAATTCACAATCCTGTTTGTGCTGGAATTTTACTTGACCTGGTATATAGCCCAGGGAATTAGGGAGTAAAAAGTGTTCAAAACCTATCTGGAAAATGCATATTATGAGAAGATTGTTCACAGATTTTAAAAGGTTGTCAAGCAACCGAACCACCAATGTAGTATAAATATTGTAATCAAAGTACCAATGAGAGATTTAATAACATCCCTTTGGTTAGGTAAGTAAAAAGAACGCATGTCATAAAATTAAAGTAGCAAGTAGAAGAAAAATCAGCTTAAAAAGTATTTTTCACTACAGTTTAAAAGCTGGTTTTCCTCTGTGTGTTTGCTGATGCTTAAAATCTCTTTCCCCAGCATATTAAATAAGCTTACTCCTGAGAAGTTTGACAAGCTATGCCTTGAGCTCCTCAATGTGAGTGTAGAGTCTAAACTCATCCTTAAAGGGGTCATACTGCTGGTAAGTTTTAACCATAGTCTTAACTCAAAGGGAAAGGAAAATATTTAACAAACCCAAGTTATTTTTTTACATTTGCATTATTGCTTAAAACTCTAAAGTATGAACTACATTAAAGTATTTCTTGTTTGAATACTAGTATTGATAAAAAGAGAAATGTTAACTAATGGTAGCATCAGATTTAAAAGATGAGTTTTAAATTATTCATATTATGCTTTTGAAGATTTAAGCAGGTTGTCTTAATTTCCCACAGGGGAGACATGTTGACCAATGAAATCTTATAACTAGATATTCTTGGTATCCCTAATAGCTGAAATTTTTCTAGGATTTATGCTAAGCACTTTATATGTGTTAGCTAGTTATACAATAAAATGTACAAGAGATGTGTTCTTATTTATATAATGTAGATGAGACCATGTATTTGTCAAAGTTCATAAATTTGTTGTAAAATTTAAGATCCTTAAAACCACAAGAAAGTATTAAGTTTATAAAGGATTTTTCTTTTAATTTTTGTATTTAGTTCTGTTTGTTTGTTTTTAATCTGTAGATTGTGGACAAAGCCTTAGAAGAGCCAAAGTATAGCTCATTGTATGCTCAGCTATGTCTGCGATTGGCAGAAGATGCACCAAACTTTGATGGCCCAGCAGCAGAGGGTCAACCAGGACAGAAGCAAAGCACAGTAAGTGATAGTTTGCTTATTTTCAGGTTGATTTTGAAATACTTCATTAATAAAGCCTGACAAGTGTATTTTGTTCCCAGACATTCAGACGCCTCCTAATTTCCAAATTACAAGATGAATTTGAGAACCGAACCAGAAATGTTGATGGTAAGGATTTATATTTGATACTCTGTAGTACCATATACTTTTCCATTGATTCTAACTATATATTTTTCATTAATTCTGTTTATTTTATTGTGTGTGTGTGTGTTTTTTTTTTTAAGTCTATGATAAGCGTGAAAATCCCCTCCTCCCAGAGGAGGAGGAACAGAGAGCTATTGCTAAGATCAAGATGTTGGGGAACATCAAATTCATTGGAGAACTTGGCAAGCTTGATCTTATTCATGAATCTATCCTTCATAAGTGCATCAAAACAGTAAGTATGACTGGGAATTTAAGCTTAGGCTTAATGTAGATGATGGATACATCATTAATTAGGAGATACATTAGTTACGTTGTTTTGTGCCATTTGAGAGGGATTAGCTAATTATATAGGTTATAGCGAAACTTAGTGAACATTGTAGATCAGTATCTTAATGCGGAAGTGTACAACAGGATTTTCTTTCTTTTTTAAGAGTCATTTAATTCTATTTATTTATTTTAATTTCATCATAGAGAAAGTGAGAAAGCAGGTTGTCAGGTCCAGGACTCAAACCATGGTTGTCCATGTGAGAGTTCAGTGCCTTAACCACCATGCTACCTGCCAGCCCTACAGTAGGATTTTTAAGGGTTGGACTAATTACTTACCTATGTTAAATTGTTTAATTTGGGGGATTTTAAAAAATTTTTTGGCACAAGTCAATAAAAAGCATTGTATTAGATGAGACGGGAACTGTGAATGAGAAAATGCAAATACAGGGATAAAGTACTAAATCTTAACCTGAGTAACTAAAATTTTGTCTATCTTGGTAGCTTTTGGAAAAGAAGAAGAGAGTACAACTCAAAGATATGGGAGAGGATTTGGAGTGCCTCTGTCAGATAATGAGGACAGTGGGACCTAGATTAGACCATGAACGAGCCAAGGTATGTATGTTGCCATAGAAGCAATATAAGTAGTTTATGTTACTCAAAGCCTTTAAAAGTACACATTTGTGGGACCAGCAGTTGGTGCAATGGCTGTGTAGCTGAACTCCCATGTAGTTGACCACAGTTCAAGTCCCGGACCTGTTGGCCTAAACTCACGCAGGGCACTTGTGCATGTGTGCCCAACATCCCTAGAGGAGAAAGGATTGTGGCATGGTTTGGGGTGATTTCTTGCTTTCTGTCTCTTTTCGCACTCTGTCTTTCTGGTGAGCGCATATGCCCTATAGCAAAAACCTCTCAAAAAGTACACATTTTCGCTAAATCTTCCTATTACATGTTTTTCTTTTTATCAGTCCTTAATGGATCAGTACTTTGCCCGAATGTGCTCCTTGATGTTAAGTAAGGAATTGCCAGCGAGGATTCGTTTCCTGCTGCAGGTAAAACTGGTTTCTTTAAATACATTGGTAAGCTGATTTTCTATTTAAAATGAGATCCTAAAATAAAATTTATACAATTTTTAAATTAAAGGATACCGTAGAGTTGCGAGAACACCATTGGGTTCCTCGCAAGGCTTTTCTTGACAATGGACCAAAGACGATCAATCAAATCCGTCAAGATGCAGTAAAAGTAAGTTCATGTATTTAATCCCATAGAAACATAAAGTATTTTTATAGTAGCACAGGACCCCCTTAACACTTGACACTGTCTCATCTTAGTGGTATGGTTACCATTTTTCAAAGAAATTATTTATAGAAATAACAGACTGATTTCTAGAAGTTTTTGTTTCTTCACGTACGAATTTTTTAGTTTTAAATAAAATAGTATCTGTAGACAAAAATGTTTTATCTACTTCATGTCTAAAGGATCTAGGAGTGTTTATTCCTGCTCCTATGGCTCAAGGGATGAGAAGTGACTTCTTTCTGGAGGGACCGTTCATGCCACCCAGGATGAAAATGGATAGGGACCCACTTGGAGGACTTGCTGATATGTTTGGACAAATGCCAGGTAATTGTGAACAAAACAGTGGTTTGGTTAAACTAAAAAATTAGTTTAACGTTTTAATAGAGTTGTAAGCGTTGTTTATATATTTACTTCTAAGGTAGCGGAATTGGTACTGGTCCAGGAGTTATCCAGGATCGATTTTCACCCACCATGGGACGTCATCGTTCAAATCAACTCTTCAATGGCCATGGGGGACACATCATGCCTCCCACACAGTCGCAATTTGGAGAGATGGGAGGCAAGTTTATGAAAAGCCAGGTAAGAAAACAAGAGTATTTAGGCAGTAAGTGTAATGTATGATACATGTGCTTTTGTTTTCCTTTTTTAAAAATGCAGCTATTTTAGGGGTGTGTGTTCTAAACCAAATTGCATCTGACAATTACTTCAAACTGAAATGCTAATTTTTAAGATTAGTGAAGTATAGTAAATCACATCACTTGAAATATTTGACCGTTAGGTTAGATTTTTTATTCTTCCCTGTTTCATCTTACTTTCTCTGGGCAGATTCAATGAAGCTTTCTTTATGGCTTGGCTCATCTCTTTGGTACTTGATTACCATAATTTGTGGACCCCCTTTTTATCTAGACTTTCTTTCTCCCTTTCTGAATAGGGGCTAAGCCAGCTCTACCATAACCAGAGTCAGGGACTCTTATCCCAGCTACAAGGACAGTCGAAGGATATGCCACCTCGGTTTTCTAAGAAAGGACAGCTTAATGCAGATGAGGTACATACATTTGCCTGTGTTACTTATATACCATAGTTTGTCAATTCAGAAATCTATTGCCCGATGATTATAAAAAGACGCGTTATTAAGAGGACTTATGCTGGAATTCTTTACTTTTTCTTTCTTTTCTGTACTACTGTTTCTTTCTTTGGATATCCAGCGTCCTATGAGCGAAGATTATGAGATATGAGGGCAAATCTTTTAAAGTCTTTATTAGTCAGAGCAAGAGAAACGATTGTCAAGATAATTGTTTCCTTGTAAGTAGGGTAATTTAAGAATAATGCAAGCATTTTCTAAATTCTAGTTCAATTTGCTGGTTTTTATATGAATATGTTAGTGGTGCTAATCATAGAAGAATTATGGTACAAACGTGACATTTATAATATCGGTACCTTATTCTTTTGTGGGTCAGGTCTTTGATTTTGTTACCAGAAATTAAACCGCTAACAACCTTTTTAGTTTATTTAGAGAAACATTTGTATACTAAATTCTATATTTGTTGTATAGGATTAATTTTAGGGTTAGACATGTAACCTTTAATATGTTAACCCAACTGCATGCTGTCAACTTGGATATGTGTTTTGATTTGTTTTCAATTTCAGATTAGCCTGAGGCCTGCTCAGTCGTTCCTAATGAATAAAAATCAAGTGCCAAAGCTTCAGCCCCAGATAACTATGATTCCTCCTAGTGCACAACCACCACGCACTCAAACACCACCTCTGGGACAGGTATAGACCATAGTTTGACATTATTGTTCTAATGCTATCCGAAGATGCCTAAAGACATGTTAGTTTATAGTGTATTCTTCGTCTAACGTTTCATGCTCCTCTTAAATGAATTAAATGTAAGTATTCCTGTGTCATGTTGATTGTTTCAGACACCTCAACTTGGTCTCAAAACTAATCCACCACTTATCCAGGAAAAGCCTGCCAAGACCAGCAAAAAGCCACCACCATCAAAGGAAGAACTACTTAAACTAACTGTAAGTTTTAAATATTCCCATTAAATGGTTCTGACTCTTGGTATATGTGATGGAGAAAACAACTAAAAGATAATTTGTACTGTGTTCTTTTTAGGAAACTGTTGTGACTGAATATCTAAATAGTGGAAATGCAAATGAGGCTGTCAGTGGTGTAAGAGAAATGAGGGCTCCTAAACACTTTCTTCCTGAGATGTTAAGCAAAGTAATCATTTTGTCACTAGACAGAAGTGACGAAGATAAAGAAAAAGCAAGTTCTTTGATCAGTTTACTCAAGCAGGAAGGAATAGCCACAAGCGACAATTTCATGCAGGTAGAACACTTTCTTGATTGTGTGATCAGAATTCTCTTAATTCACATTTGAAAACTAATAAGTTGTTGTATGTTTCTTCTAAGGCTTTCCTGAATGTATTGGACCAGTGCCCTAAGCTGGAGGTTGACATCCCCTTGGTGAAATCATATTTAGCACAGTTTGCAGCTCGTGCCATCATTTCAGAGTTGGTGAGCATTTCAGAACTAGCTCAACCACTGGAAAGTGGCACCCATTTTCCTCTCTTCTTACTATGTCTTCAGCAGTTAGCTAAATTACAAGATCGAGAATGGTTAACAGAACTTTTTCAACAAAGCAAGGTCAATATGCAGAAAATGCTTCCAGGTAAGAAATGCTGGCTTTTTTTTTTTTTTTTTAATATTAAACATATTCTTAGTACATGGTATGGATTTTTATAGGTCAGCCTGATTGTCCTGCCACATGATGATAAACATTACCATGGATAGGGAACCAGCAGTTAGCGTAATGGCTATGTCGCTGAACTCCCACGTAGTCGACTGCAGTTCGCGTCCCGGACTTGGTGGCTTAAAAACCCACGCTGGGCGCATGTGCGTGCGTGCCCAAGATCCCGAGAGGAGAATGGAGGAGAAGGGATTGCGGCGTGGCCATCCCCCCTAGGGGGTGATTTCTTGCTTTCCGTCTCTGGCGAGTGCACGCGCCCTATAATGCCTATAGTGAAAAACCTTTCAAAAAAAAAAAAAAAAAAAACCAAAACATTACCATGGATAAATCTCACCATCTTAACTGAGTTGTCAGGAAAGTCATGACACATTTTTGCATAGAAAAACAATAAAATACATGACTTGATGGCCCAATAAAAAAATTATTAACATTAAGTTGTTAGTATTTCCATTTGATCCATATGTTCAGAGGTTGCATTTGCTAAGGGTTTTTATTATTGTTTTACATGAAGTTTGTATACTTGGGAAATCATTGGGAAGCTCTGCCTTCTGATACACGTTTTTTTTTTCTTCAGAAATTGATCAGAATAAGGACCGCATGTTGGAGATTTTGGAAGGAAAAGGACTGAGTTTCTTATTCCCACTCCTCAAATTGGAGAAGGAATTGTTGAAGCAAATAAAGTTGGATCCATCCCCTCAAACCATATATAAATGGATTAAAGATAACATCTCTCCCAAACTTCATGTAGATAAAGGATTTGTGAACATCTTAATGACTAGGTAACATAAATGGTCTTTTACATATATTTATGTTTTATTTGTTAGAAAAACACAAGTTTGCAAGGTTTCTTTTGAAAACTTGTGTTCTAATTAGGCCTGTTTCTGTCCAGCTTCTTACAGTATATTTCTAGTGAAGTAAACCCACCCAGCGATGAAACAGATTCTTCCTCTGCTCCTTCCAAAGAACAGTTAGAGCAGGAAAAACAACTGCTTCTTTCTTTCAAGCCAGTGATGCAGAAATTCCTTCATGATCATGTTGATCTCCAGGTCAGTGCCCTGTATGCTCTTCAGGTGCACTGCTACAACAGCAACTTTCCAAAAGGTGAGAGCATCAATATCAGAAAAATGGTGAATGTGGGACAGTTCTTAAACCGCACACTAAATACAGGATTCCATTTTGTTTTCTAGGCATGTTGCTCCGCTTTTTTGTTCATTTCTATGACATGGAAATTATTGAAGAAGAAGCTTTCTTGGCTTGGAAAGAAGATATAACCCAAGAGTTTCCAGGGAAAGGCAAGGCTTTGTTCCAGGTAAGTCTTTTAGGTGTTTGATACCCTTTCAGATTGTTTTGTACATTTCACATGAAGACTTTTCTTTGTAAACTGAAATACGGGCGGCATAGTCTCTGTAGTTCATTTTCTTTGGTGTTTTGTTTTGTTTTGTTTTTGGAGAGGTGTGGTTTTTTTGCTATAGGGTGCATGCGCTCGCCAGAGAGACAGAAAGCGAGAAATCATCCCCTGGGGGGGATTGCCATGCCACAATCCCTTCTTCATTCTCTTCTCAGGATCTTGGGCACGCACGCATGCACATGCACCCGGCGAGTTTTAGCCACTGGGTCCGGGACTACATGGGAGTTGAGTGACATAGCCATTATGCTAACTGCTGGTTCCATGTAGTTTGTTTTCATCCATGTGTATGGTCATGTACTATGAGTACTGTGATTAAATGGGCAAGTAAGGTAGCAAAATGAAGTAAAGCTATGAAATGAAATCAGTCTTCATTCCTAATGGTAAGACAAGTAGCTAGCAATTTTTTCTTTTAATCAAGCCCCTTAGGATGAATATGCAGGTTTGCGTTTAAGCTGTTTTTAAAATTTTAGTAAAGAAATCACTTGATTTCTGTTTGATTTTTTTTTTTTAATTAATTTTATTTATTCACTCACTTCTTTTAATTTGACCAGAGAGACAGAGAAAGAGAGAGGGAAAGTGAGAAGCAAGCCTCCAGGTCCAGGGCTCCAACCGTGGTCAACCATGTGGGAGCGTCCAGCTCCTTAACCACCATGCCATCTGCTGGTCCCTCTCAGTTTGATTTTCTGGTAGTTGAATTACAGACATAATGGAAATAAATCTGGGCATTCTGAATTCATTGTGTGCATTAATCACCTGGGGAGTTTAAAGTAGGCCTTAATCCCAAAGATTCTAATTTAGTCTGTGGTTACACAATTTACCAGATGATTCTGTGTAGTTAGTCATTTTTCCTGGGGGGGGGGGGGGCGGCTTCAAAAACACATAACATTGTTTTACCTTTATTTCTAAGGTTTGCAAAGGAGCTTCATAAAGTTCATTCTTTAAGATTTATCCATAGCTCTGTCTGGGGTGGGACTGGAATTACTGCTAGCCATATGCAGTAATGTACCAGTGTTGCTAATGACATATTTAGGTTTGAAGGAGCCACTGTCCTAGACTGAAATAATCCTGAAATGCAACAAGTGTTGACAAATGTGCTTGAGCTAACTGACTATAAACCATTTATATTTTATTTCAAATAGTATACTATTTTTTTAGTATACTATTTTTTTTAGAGCTTAAAGCCAGTGTCCAGAGAGTAAATTTGTAGCATATCCAGCAATAAAAATGTATGGTAGTACTTACAACTTTGTTGTCCTTAGCTAACATTCCAGTCATATCCTAAATCAGAAGTTAGGCTACCGGGAACCGGCAGATGTATAGTGGTTGCATTGCTGGACTCCCATGTAGCCGACCACAGTTCAAGTCCTGGACCTGACGACTTAAACACTTAGGCTGGGCACGTGTGCCTGAGCGCTCAAGATCCTGAGAGGAGAATGGAGGAGAAGCGATTGCTGTATGGTCATTCCTCCAGGGAGGGTGATTTTTCACTTTCTTTCTTGTCTCTGTCTCTCCAGCAAGCACACGTACCCTATAGCAGAAATCTCTCTCAAAAACAAACTGAGATTGCCTTTTTTGGGAAGGGGTCTTTTGTAAATACTACTAATTTTGTTACATTATAAATCTAATTTATCAGGTGAATCAGTGGCTAACCTGGCTAGAAACTGCTGAAGAAGAAGAATCAGAGGAAGAAGCTGACTAAAGAACCAGCCAAAGCCTTAAATTGTGCAAAACATACTGTTGCTATGATGTAACTGCATTTGACCTAACCACTGCGAAAATTCATTCCGCTGTAATGTTTTCACAATATTTAAAGCAGAAGCACGTCAGTTAGGATTTCCTTCTGCGTAAGGTTTTTTTGTAGTGTAATGTCTTAATCATAGTCTACCATCAAATATTTTAGGAGTATCTTTAATGTTTAGATAGTATATTAGCAGCATGCAATAATTACATCATAAGTTCTCAAGCAGAGGCAGTCTATTGCAAGGACCTTCTATGCTGCCAGTTATCATAGGCTGTTTTAAGTTAGAAAACTGAATAGCAACACTGAATACTGTAGAAATGCACTTTGCTCAGTAATACTTGAGTTGTTGCAATATTTGATTATCCATTGGTTGTTACAGAAAAATTCTTAACTGTAATTGATGGTTGTTGCCGTAATAGTATATTGCCTGTATTTCTACCTCTAGTAATGGGCTTTATGTGCTAGATTTTAATATCCTTGAGCCTGGGCAAGTGCACAAGTCTTTTTAAAAGAAACATGGTTTACTTGCACAAAACTGATCAGTTTTGAGAGATCGTTAATGCCCTTGAAGTGGTTTTTGTGGGTGTGAAACAAATGGTGAGAATTTGAATTGGTCCCTCTTATTATAGTATTGAAATTAAGTCTACTTAATTTATCAAGTCATGTTCATGCCCTGATTTTATATACTTGTATCTATCAATAAACATTGTGATACTTGAAGTAGTTGTATGCAACTTAAAGTAGCATCCACAAATTTATAGCAGATTGTTACCTTTGTTTTGAGATGTGGGATATCCGTCTTAGTTTGAAGACTTTGAGGATTTTGATTCTTTTTTTTTTTTTTGGAGAAGTTTTTGCCATAGGGCGCGTGCACTCGCCAGAGAGACAGCGAAAAATCTCCCACCAGGGGGATGGCCACACCACAATCCCTTCTCTATTCTCCTCTTGGGATCTTGAGCATGCATGCCATGCGCCCGGCGTGAGTTTTAAGCCACCAAGTCTGGGACGTGAACTGCGGTCGACTACATGGGAGTCCAGCGACATAGGCATTATGCTAACTGCTGGTCCCAGGATTTCGATTCTTTTGAAAAGAGTGAAGAATCACTCCCTGGGAGGATGACCATGCTACAAACTTTTCTCCGTTCTCTTCTGGAGATTTTGGGCATGCCCACACATAGATCCCAATGTAATTTTCAAGTCGCCAGAAGTTTCAAGCTCCAGGACTCAACTACATAATCATGTGAGATCTAGCCACCCTAACTTCCCTGCCACCTGCAGGCCCAGGGGACTTAATTTTCCTTTTTTATGCTGAGACAAAAGATCCAATTTATTAATTTAATATTAATTAATATAATTTAATTTCTCCTTGTGTTATTGGAACTAAGAATTTTCGTAATCAAAGACCACGGTCTTCTAAATTGGGAAGAATGTTGCTAGGCATAGCAAGAAAAACTTGTGACATGTTGTTTGTCATGCTGAAATACCTGGTGTTCTCTAGATAAGCACAGGTCTCCTGAAGGAATCATTCCCAGTAGTAGTTTTTGCACTCTCAAGATTCCTTTTCCCTCTTGAGGAAACCCTAGTGTCCCAGTGTAGTTATCTGGTTTCTTGATTCAACTAAAGCTCTGTGTGGAGGCAAAAATGAATTTTTAAAAACCACTTAAAGATTTACCCGTATTTCCAACCCCTTGCTGACTGCTTTGGAACATTTTCGCAATCCTAAGCTTACTTAGATGCAGATGAGAAAGCTTGCCACCAGAGTCCTGGTTGCGAGAGATCCTGAAGGCAGTTGATCATACTGCAGAGTCTAAAGACGCTCGTCCTGCTAATTTTACAATAAGAGGTGGGTAGGACTGATTTTGTGTGTTCAGAAGTTAGTCCTGTATTAAAGCAGGAATCTATCTCCTAACTTTATAACTTGGGGTGAGTATTTCAAGTATAGCAAAGTTAAAAGCTTAGCAGTCTTGTGTAAACCCACTTTATTCTTTTATTTACTTAATTTTATTTATTAATTTTAATTTGACCAGAGAGTGAGAAAACAAGCCACCAGGTCCAGGACTTAAACCTTGGTTGGCCATGTGCAAGCGTCTAGTGCCTTACCCACCACCCCACCCATTGGTCCCACAGTGTAAACTTACTTTAGACTCTAAAGAGAGACTAACTTTGCAAGACTATACAAAGGAGCTATAAATTGCTTTGTTCTTTCTGCCCAACTTGTATCTATCAATAAACATTGTGATACTTGAAGTAGTTGTATGCAACTTAAAGTAGCATCCACAAATTTATAGCAGATTGTTACCTTTGTTTTGAGATGTGGGATATCCGTCTTAGTTTGAAGACTTTGAGGATTTTGATTCTTTTTTTTTTTTTTGGAGAAGTTTTTGCCATAGGGCGCGTGCACTCGCCAGAGAGACAGCGAAAAATCTCCCACCAGGGGGATGGCCACACCACAATCCCTTCTCTATTCTCCTCTTGGGATCTTGAGCATGCATGCCATGCGCCCGGCGTGAGTTTTAAGCCACTGGGTCCAGGACGCGAACCGTGGTCAACTACATGGGAGTCCAGCGACATAGGCATTATGCTAACTGCTGGTCCCAGGATTTCGATTCTTTTGAAAAGAGTGAAGAATCACTCCCTGGGAGGATGACCATGCTACAAACTTTTCTCCGTTCTCTTCTGGAGATTTTGGGCATGCCCACACATAGATCCCAATGTAATTTTCAAGTCGCCAGAAGTTTCAAGCTCCAGGACTCAACTACATAATCATGTGAGATCTAGCCACCCTAACTTCCCTGCCACCTGCAGGCCCAGGGGACTTAATTTTCCTTTTTTATGCTGAGACAAAAGATCCAATTTATTAATTTAATATTAATTAATATAATTTAATTTCTCCTTGTGTTATTGGAACTAAGAATTTTCGTAATCAAAGACCACGGTCTTCTAAATTGGGAAGAATGTTGCTAGGCATAGCAAGAAAAACTTGTGACATGTTGTTTGTCATGCTGAAATACCTGGTGTTCTCTAGATAAGCACAGGTCTCCTGAAGGAATCATTCCCAGTAGTAGTTTTTGCACTCTCAAGATTCCTTTTCCCTCTTGAGGAAACCCTAGTGTCCCAGTGTAGTTATCTGGTTTCTTGATTCAACTAAAGCTCTGTGTGGAGGCAAAAATGAATTTTTAAAAACCACTTAAAGATTTACCCGTATTTCCAACCCCTTGCTGACTGCTTTGGAACATTTTCGCAATCCTAAGCTTACTTAGATGCAGATGAGAAAGCTTGCCACCAGAGTCCTGGTTGCGAGAGATCCTGAAGGCAGTTGATCATACTGCAGAGTCTAAAGACGCTCGTCCTGCTAATTTTACAATAAGAGGTGGGTAGGACTGATTTTGTGTGTTCAGAAGTTAGTCCTGTATTAAAGCAGGAATCTATCTCCTAACTTTATAACTTGGGGTGAGTATTTCAAGTATAGCAAAGTTAAAAGCTTAGCAGTCTTGTGTAAACCCACTTTATTCTTTTATTTACTTAATTTTATTTATTAATTTTAATTTGACCAGAGAGTGAGAAAACAAGCCACCAGGTCCAGGACTTAAACCTTGGTTGGCCATGTGCAAGCGTCTAGTGCCTTACCCACCACCCCACCCATTGGTCCCACAGTGTAAACTTACTTTAGACTCTAAAGAGAGACTAACTTTGCAAGACTATACAAAGGAGCTATAAATTGCTTTGTTCTTTCTGCCCAACCTTCTACTTGAAAGGGATGCAGTGTCTAATGCAACCAAAGCAGCATGTGGTTAGGGCGATGTGGATCTTTTGATTCCACTTTGAATTCACCCAATTTTGTGAGACCAGCAGATGGCATAATGGTTAAATCACTGGACTTCCACATAGTCCACTGTTCAAGCCCTGGGCTTGGCAGCTTAAAATGGGTGTGTGGGGACCAGCAGTTAGCATAATGGCCATGTTGCTGGACTCCCACGTGGTCAACCACGGTTCGAGTCCCGGACCCGGTGGCTTAAACTCACGCCAGGTGCGTGTGCTTGCGTGCCCAAGATCCTGAGAGGAGAATGGAGGAGGGGATCGCGGCATGGCCATCCCTCCTTGGGGGTGATTTCTCGCTTCCTGTCTCTGTCTCTGTCTCTGGCGAGCGCATGCACCCTATAGCAAAAACCTCTCCAAAAAAAAAAAAAAAAATGGTGTGTGTGCTTGTGCAGATCCCGAGAGGAGCGTATAAGGGAATTGTGGCACAGCCATAACCCATACGGGGGGGTGATAACCTTGTTTTCTGTCTGACTCCAGCAAGTGTCGGCACATACAGCAAAAATCTCTTAAAAGAATTCTCCCAGTTTTGCTAGAGTAGTCTAAAAAAATACTGGACAAATCTAGTGTGCAGTGGTTTGTGATTGGTTGCAGAAGTCTTCCATCTCTACCCCATATGCTTCAAGAGGAACTTAATTTACTGACCCCTAGAGAATACATAATAATGCTAACTTGTGCCAGAGAACTAAATGGTATGTTCATAACCTACCGTGCTGTGGAATAGCACTTGAAAGTACTGGGTTTGAACCTGTAATGAATGTATTATCATGAAAAGAATGACTTAAGATTGCACATCCTTATCATTCCAAACTTGTTCTGCTTTATATTTATAGCAAGACTGGGAGACTTGTCTAATTACTTTGCCAACCCCCATCTCCCTTCATTTCTAAGAGTAAGGCTGCACTCCCTGTACCCCTACACCAAAACTTGTCAGCACACCATATGTAAAACTCAGTAGGTTTTGATCATCCTGTAGGCAGTATTGACAGTTCCTTGAGACTGTTGATACTTGTTTTCAGCCAGTTTTCCTACCTCGGACTTATTCTCCAGTGGGGAATGTCTTAATCCTTTAAAAACAAAGAGGGCTGGTGGTCTGTAGTACAGCAGTTACACTGCAGAGAAATCCAGATCCTACATTGACAGACCAGAATTCTATCCTGGCCTCAGTGGCTTGAAAAACACTGAGCGTGTCCATGCCCTGTTGATTTTTTTTCCTCTCACTTTTTCTTCTAGACACACCTGGGGTGGAAAAACTTAAACACCTGTGCAGTTGCTGTCTAGCTATACTCTATCAAATCTCATTGGCTGTGCTTTCTAAGCATTTTAGAAATTGGTAACTCAAGTTTTTAGAAGAAAATGATAAATTTGGTATGCAAGGCCCTACATGTGATCTAGCCA